AAATCAGGGTTTGAGTCTTCGGAAGCCGTCACTGCGTCTCCGTTGGGGAGTACAACTCGTGCAGAAATAACTTGGTCTGATGCGAGGCCGTATTGGCCTTGTAACCAGCCATGGCCGCCACCAAGGACTGGCGCTGAGACACCAACGCACTCACAGATACCAGTGACTGGAGATCATGTTAGCACGGGGATCTGAGCCTATGGTGATTGAGTTACCTGTTTGCTTTCCGGCTGTCCAAAGTTCATTTACAACCTTCTTCACACTTGCGCCTCCACCTATCCTCGCAGACTTTCCATCCCCAGCAATTTCGACATCATTTTGGTCTCGCAGGTCTACAACAATAACGTCCTTGGCCAGCTGTAGTGCCTCAGTTGCTCCATGACCTCCGGATCTGGCGAGGAAGGGAATACCATGCTCATTCGCGTATCTTATCTGCAACATGTTAGCAGGATTCTCGTCTCAGAGCCATCACCCTTACAGTTTCTTGCACATCGCTCTCGGAGAAGGTTTTCACAACTGCTCCAGGCTGCGGCCCATGCCAATCCCGCCATCTACTAACAACAACACCAAACGACGAGTCATCGGGCAACACGATCGACGCTCGAGGTGAGAGCTTTGAGGATAATTCAGGCCATGAATTCTGCGTGACAAGCGATGCAAGGCCAAGACGTCCCAGAATCTTCTGCGGCGAAGGGGCCTTGCCCAGCGCCCAAGATGCACCTGCAGCAATAAACTCCATGACTGCGTATCAATACAAATGAGATGTCTGGGATGTTTACTGATGTGAATGACTGGGAGATGTCGGTCAGCTTTTAAATGTCATCTTTGGCCCCCGCCCCATCCTTCGAGCTTACCCGGCGATAGGCGTATTGCCAATGAGATCAGCGTTTCTTAACTCCGATGATGTATTTCTCGGGTTCTCGGATGTCAGCCAATACTATCTGATCTCGGGTAATGGGAGTTTGTCCGAGGTGGTGTTCTGCTTAGCACGCTTGTGATGTTTTTGAGCGAAAGTGTTTTAGTCAAACAGTTTAGATAATTTCTTTCAAATGCATAAAATAAATTTTTGGACCCATCAAGAAAGGGCAAGGCCCATTTCCGTCTGTTCAGTGTCTGAACATCCGCTAAAATTGAAATGCCTGTAAGGATGCCCTTCGGAATCACCATCAAGAATTCATGATTCATACCCTCAAGCTACCAGTACTAAAAGACAAAGGAGCAGCCTATAGATTCGATAAAAAGCACTACACTTGCTTCGGCTTGAAAATTATCGATCATGGTATCCCGGGCCCTCTCTTGTACATAAAGTGTCAACTCTTCCTCACTTGTTGAGCCCCAATACCTCCAAAATCTCATCAGTATCCGTATGGTCTCTCGAATTTCTCATCCGATGACACCACGTCACCTGCTTATCATCCCCCTCCCCAACAAACAAGAACTCTCCGCCCTGTTGATTCGTGGTTCCCCAGTTCCACACAGGATATCCCTCCAGTAACTTCCAAAACGCATTCTTCATGGACAGCCAAGCATTCTGAAAAGGCGAGATAGGGATGTACTTGTTCGGAGGTCCTTCTTCCCATGTCCGAATCATGCCGAGTGTTTTGTAAAGCTCTTCAGATGGATCAGTATAGATGGGAAATTCGCAGCCCGTATCTATGCGATACATGTCAACTGTTCTTGGATCCCCATGACCTATTATCACGATTTCTGTGTTGATCTCTTGCAGCTTTTCTGGGGTCGCGTTTTTGGCAAGAAAGCTGGTGTAGCTCACGCATGACTGATGGTGTTAGCTAGGTCTAGGCGAGGGGTAGGGACCATACACAACAAAAGAAATGGCGAACAAAGACAACAAGAACTCGACGGGGTACTTCAGGTCCGCTGTAGATGCTCTTGAAGGTATGCTTCTCTCCTTTGCCATCAAGAACCTCAATTCCATCGGCGATCTCGAGTACCTTAGCAGTCGGCAAGTCATCGTTGACTTGGCTGCTGGAGACCTCCTTCCCTTGAGGCATCTCACACGAGTTGTCCATCTGGAACCTTTTGAGTGACCTGCAGAGCCAAGTTTGTCTCCTGCTGCAGGTCAAGATGCGGGGCTGTTATGTGTTTAGCTCTCTCGCGCTATGACCATCGTCAAAATGCCAAATGTTTCTGACGTCAGCACTAGAGAAGTTTATGTCAACACACCGGTCGGTGCCAAGAACTTCTGCCTCGAACCAAGAAGATTAGCATGAGCGAGGTGATTTGTCAAGATATATTTTCCGCGTGGCTCAAAGAATGAATGTATCAGGGAGACCAGGCCGTGGTCAACACCAAACAGGGGCTAGCCCGGGCCGTTTACTGCTGAAAGCGCTTAGAAACAAGCATAATACCGCTAACTGAACCCTACAGGCCTCCGCTATTCCATCACAAATCTGACACTCTGTTTCCAGTCATCCCTCGGCATCTTCAGCGAATTAATATGCTGTGACTTATTCTCAAATCCAATCCCAACCGTGCAAAGTAGATCCAAGTTCTCATCAATACCCAGCTCTCTCTTGATGATGTCCGGGTATCCAGTTGGCGCAGCAGACACTTGCGTGCCCAATCCCTTCTCCGTCAACAGTAAAAGAAGTGTTTGCAGATAGATACCCACTGACAGAACGTCCCCTTTGTTCAGGGCTTTGCCGATAGAAATAACAGCCACTACTCGCGCGTTGTAGAAATTGAAGTTGTCAATGAGAGTTTTGGTCATCGCCTCTGTATCTTCGCGAGCAATGTTGTATCCATTTGGTCCATAGACATGATGGCCCAGTTCTGAGCGGTGGTGGTTGAATGTCTCGGGAATAGCATCAAGTTTGAGCTCTTCCTTATTCTCAAATGCAGCAACTAATGCAGCTGACAGTCGCTTCAGCGGCTCACCAGATGCGACAGTAACTCTCCAAGGCTGGATGTTAGTCGAAGATGGAGCATGCTGGGCGACACTGAAGCAATCCTCAATAACGGACATCGGAACTTCTTGACCGGTGCAAAATGCACGAGTACTGTGTCTGTCAAGAATGGTTTCAGCTACAGCATTGCCAGCTGATTGGATCTCATGACGCTGGAAGGTTTGTTGCGAAGGCATGGCGGGATTGCTGTCGTCGTGGATCTGATCTCGGCACCCAACAGCTTGGGGCACGATGTTCTTAAATATAAGAGACGTGGTGACTTATTGAAGTGTACCGACGGTCATCCGCCCGCCGTGTCAAAGCTTTTACGTGATCGCTGGTCGCTTACATGGACAAATTATGGGGTGGCGGTATGTATGATCGGACTTAAGCATCTCTTCGGTCGGAGCTTGTAGTAACGCGGGCTTCTAATAGTGCATATAGATGTTCGGTTAAGTTGTAGATCACAGGCAGTCGCTGGTTTGTCGAATCAGGAATTTCCGGCGTAACCAGGGGCACCAGTTCGTCCGAAACGTATTACTCATCCTCCATAAGCAGGACAGCTAGCTGATAAATACACCATGCAAGAGTCCCATTGAGAGGAGAGGAATATTGAATTAATAGGTGTTCAGGGCCATCCCAAGTAACGGGCAGAACTGATTACAGACCAAAGTATTCTATCGGTGATGCGAAATACATCTGGCGGATCGGGGTTCACAAATCAACTTGTACAACGAGTCCAAAGTATCAGTAGGCATACTGCTTGACTTCATCAGAGAGCATTCACTGATATGCTCGGTTGACTCTGACTCAGTTCGCCATCGATACTCTTCATCTCGCCCATTTTTCATTTTGAGCTATCGAACTCTCCAGCCTCCATGCAGTGAATATTTCCCCTCAGCAACAGATTCCAGCTGGGGTGACACTTCTCCTCGGCTCGACGAGGCCCATTTCCTTTACAGTTCTCAACTCGGGGCGCTCACGCATCCGATGGAGCGGCGTTTCGAGCCTTCGTCTCATTAACGTGCCTGGACAGGCCGGCCAAACCTGGTCTGGGTGGGTTGCGCTCGTTGTGGGGTAATGGCCAGCTCTTGTGAGTTTTGAGCGTCTTCATCGGGGTGACGCTGTCACTTATTTTAGCAGCTTCGATGCCGGCATCTGATTTGCTAGCTGCCATCCATGTAGAAGTGACTGGTTAGCTGTATTGGAGTGTTCTGTGTGCCCAGCCATCATGTCTCATAGCAGCAGTTGAGAACCCTACCGGGCAAGATGGGGTCAGTCAAGGCGATGACTGCGGCCTCGCAAGCGAGGAGACTGAACTCTATGTTTTAGTAGTAGGGTTGGGATGTCAATTGAACTAATGTTTGTAAGTAAAGTATCTATAGCAGGATAACTGGAGCAAAAGTAGTAAAGACGAGATTGGAAGACATGGCGCCGCCTTGAAAGCCAACGTAGAGCAATAAGAAGGGTAAACAATAAAGTTAACAGAGGAAGGCCCGATAGGTCACAACATTACGTATTGGCGAAAGTATTAAGCATTTCCACTGAACAAAGTGTGACGAGTGTTAAGAAACATTTTAGTGACTTAATCATTAAGAGTTAATATTGGCTACAACAGAGTCTAGTGCGTGAAAGAAGGGAACAGCCAATATAGACAATGACTTAGATCTACTCTATATCTTACAGGATATTAAACATGTTAACTAAATAAACTTCTAGATTATTAAGGCTTGCACTTCTTGCTTAGGGACATATGCCAATTAGCTAAGAATTAACTACTGACAAAAGGACAGAGATTTGAGAACCTTGCATTAAAAATGAAAAATAAATATCACTTGTAGTAGTTTACTGAAAGTGCAAAACAAAGGTCTCGGAGGGAGTCGAACCCTCGCTGGCGGAATCAGAATCCGCAGTCATAACCGTTAGACCACGAAACCGTGTTGTGATCTTGATTTACTTACCCTGCCATTAGTATTCAGATCTGCTTCAGTGACAGTAGCTCAAAAAAAAGTCTCAAAATCATCTGTATAGAAGTGTTTCTGTAAACTATTCTATAAATATTTACTGCAGTTCCAACACCGTGAAACTACCAAGCTATGCATAATATCGAGGCAAGTCCTCAAAGACGAACCCATGCTCCTTCAATTGCTTGGTCGCCAAGTCCCAAAGCTTACCGACAGCCTGAGGATCATCCAACCACTTATTAGCCTTATCATCTAGCTTCTGAACAGGCACATAATATCTGCCAGCGTGCTCGTAGGCTTGCGGAGTTGTAGCACAGAATAGAGAGTTCATCGATCCTTCGAGTGGCGTAGACGTTGGGCCGACTTTCATGGCGACACGTGTCATGGCTCCGAAGATGTTGTTCGAGTGAGACTGCAGACCGGACTTGATAAGACCTGGATGAAGGGAGTAGGCTGTAACACCGAGAGGCTGGTAGCGTTCTGTAATGGCCTTCACGGCAATGATGCTGGCTTGCTTGCAGTGGCCGTATCTCCTCCTGATGTAGATTAACAAGCTGGATTGAAGTTTGTCCTGAGTTGAATGGCTTACCATGGCGCTAGTTGCCCGGTGACATCAGTGAGATTAGGGTCCTGATAATTAATGGCTTCTGGTCCCATCCTGAAGGCCATGTCGCTAGCAACATTGACGATTCTCACACGGTCCATGCGACCACTGGTCTGAGCGGCGGCGACGAGGAGAGGCATCAGTGACATGGTGAGGGCGTGATGGGAGAGGAAGCAAGTCTGCCATTGGACTTCAAAGCCGTCCTTTGTCAATTGCCAGGGACTGGCCATGATCTGGATTACGTTAGCTTTATTGTAAGGTTTTAGGATGCACCTACGCCAGCGTTATTGATGAGTAGATCAAGGCGATTTTCGCGGCTCATGAAATCAGCAGCGGTATCTTTGATGCTCTGGAGGTCCTGGAGGTCTAGCTTGAGGAAGTGAAGGTCTAAGTCGGGACTGTTTTGTCGCATATCAGAGATGGCCTTGTTGACACGTTCACTTGAGCGGCTGGCGATGTAAACTCTAGCGCCCTTGAGGGCGAGTTGAAGTGTTGTTTCATAGCCAATACCAGAGTTGCCTGAATAGTCAGTGGAGAGCTCTGTAAGTGTTAAGTTGATGACTTACCGCCTGTAACGATGGCGATGTACCCCCGAAGACTGGGGATGTCGCGGATTTGGAACTCGGGTTCTTTGTGGCAGTTCATCATGATTTCGGTGTAAATGTGCAGACAATCTGGAAGAGGTATTGAAAGGTGAGTTTCTGTTATGTTCGAGGACTGGGCTTTTCGGGTTGTTGAAGCTGGTCTGATAGTTTCGAATTCTGTTGTCGCATTTCTCTCATCTTATACCAAGAAATCCACGAGGCAGTGCAGCCAATCGGAGGTGGAGCTGTCTGATACAACGGGCTCGTCCGCGGACATGTCCATGGTGGGGCTGCGTTGAAGGGCTGAAGGCCTAGCTTACGGCGCAGAGGCCAATGCAATTACCAGAGTCAACTTTTGCAGCATTGATTGGATTAGCAGGAAAGGCTCTTGTTTCATCCGAGATGGGTCTTTTGCTATAGACCCTCAAATATACCATGCTGGCTGATAAGCATGGCTAGGTTCCATCAAGATTGGCTGATGAGGGTCCCAGGACCTTGGAGTCTGACCGACGACCCAGCCGCATGAAGTCCCTTACTTGGCTCATTTCTGCATCAACGCACGTTCATTTCGATAATACTTCATGGGCACGATTTGGATCTGACACTATCATGCAGCCCTACAAGGCACACGCATTGTCAGCCGGAATGCAGGTGCAGCACCCAAAACCGGATATTGCCACTGGCTCACGGAAATCCAGCCGTTGCACCCAAGCCCATTCAAAAGAAGGATAGTTTATTGGCTATTGCTTCCAGGGACTGCTCACTATATACACAAGCAGCCTTAAGATTTCTTTTTCGCTGCTTTTTGTGTTAAGCAAGTCTCGCATATCCAGTCATGATAGATTCTATTTACGATAACCCCAAGGCACTTCTGTTTACCCTTCACTTTGTCGCACTGAACTGTTCTCCCCAAATCTAGATTACGCTCCTTTGGGCAGAGGCGGCATTTATTTATGTTCTGGGTGACTGTGCACATTATGACACGAAAGTTCTTGGATCTTGGATCTTGCTGACTGAGCACGAGGAGGAATGTTTGCTATTTCACGACAGGGCCACGGGAACTGTATCTATAGGCGAGGCCAGTCCGTAGCGCTGCAGCTCCCTTAATCACTTGGCCTGGGGTAGGGCATTCGGTAAGTTTCACTGTTCGGCAAGAATACACTTCAGGCTACACGTCAGTGAATCGGGCAACTAGATCTTGGGGCTTTGTATAGTCTCAGTCAATTCAATGATCAGCTATTTGGGACAGACTTTGGCGGAGGAATAATGCTTCTATTCTAATGGTGATTGATGATAACAGACCAAAGCATGCGTGAATTTTCACTGAACTATCTGCTTCAGTGAACCCTTTGCTATCACGGTCCACTGCATACTATCAGATACGCTCGTCCCACTCCTTCTCTTTGATTGGGAGATGTTTGTGATCATCGCATGCCTTTGGCCCAGACATCGGCTGCTGGTTTCTCTTTTGGCAGTTCTTTCCCGTCTCGGCGTCTCTGCACTGGAGGGGCGGACCGGATTCGGGGCCGAATTTCTTGCCGCAATGGGGACAAGTCCAGATAATAAAGGGTACGGTGCACATGCTTGTTGATTGTTGAGACTAATCGGGAAAACTTGTTTCGGTCGTGTAAAAAGCTGTTGAGGTGGGCGAGTTGTCGATGTTTGATGGTAAATAAAACCACAACTCATTCGAGATGGTGTGAATTTATAGGCTGGTACGATTGTTTGTTGTTCACGGACATTATGTTCTGTTCCTCTGTAAGTGAACAAGTCATCACTTTGTTTGAATCACGTCACAAAAGTGTAACGAAATACCCAGTGATTAAATTACATCAAAGCATATGTGAACAGTAGTAATCTACTCAAAGAAAAGTCTTTGACACTTTGACAGAGGCTTCTAGATGGAGCTCAAGCCATCTATCCCTTCACATGTTATTTCAAGCCACTCTCTCCAAAGGGCCTCTACAAACAGGCACATTTGCCTGCACTCTGTAGTTCTTGTCACCAGGAGTCACACACCAGGCCCTGACAAGTGGGCTTTTGTAAGGTACAGGCCTTTCCCTCTGCAGAGCAGAGCTGAGCATGCAATGGTTCATGCAAATGCTATCACGAGTCAGCTAGAAATTTCCTAACTCTCATACTACCTTAGTCTCCAATGACTTCACCTTCTACGGACTCAGTATCCAATCACCGCAAGACCTTTTACTGTCTCCTGGTATTGGAAGTATACGGCGAATCTTGAAAACGAGCCTTAGGATGATTTCATTAATTACAGGGGAGGTCAAGAAGCTATGTGTCACCGATGCAGCTAAACCACACGCATATATCGGCGAAACAATTTCCATTCAGGAGCAAAGTCCATGTTCTTTACGGGGGATTGGTGCCCGGCTTCTGAAAGTCTGGAGGATGGTTTAAAGGTACATCTCTGCGGCCATACGCCATGTTGCAGTTCTGTAGCAAACAACTTTCGGCAACCTCTACAGAAGACCGCAAACAATATTATGTTTACTCTTGCAATTAACTTTTGATACCTGTAGGTGTGATACCTTGGATCTGATGGACTACTCTTTCAACAATCTTTCTCGTCCAAACACCTTCGTGTCCGCCCTTGGTAAAATAGACTTCTACTCCACGCTGTATTGGAAACCACTTGACTGATTCGAACAATGTACCCAGTGATCAGTTATGGCGTGCTTGCAACAAGCAGGGGAACAGTAAGCGGGCTGCGTCGACTCTGCCAAATTTCAACAGAACCGCGACAGCCGCCAACTCCAGCTTTACCTCGTCGCTTGTGACTTCACCAAACGTACTCAGTGTCTAGGCCGTCTTGGCCAGAACGGTGTAAGATGGCTTTGGCCCTTCACTCGACCCAATAGATTATGTATGTCTAGGTATGCAAATTTACATGACGGGTCTCGAAGACGAGATCCACACGTTTGAAGCACAAACCACAGCTTTGTAGGATGTTACCGCGGCAGTTGGCGTAGGCTGCGCAGGACTACGGTGACTCAGGGTGGAAGAGTTCATAGACGGGCTAGCCCGCCTATTCATCAACGAAGGCCCTCTCAACAATGTTGTCCTAGGGATGCCCGAAAAACCGTCTAGTGAAAGCCCAATGACTGCTGAGTCTGCAAAACAGGACCCATTATGCACATAGATGGTTGTGTATTATCGAGCTTGAGACGTCTTCATGAGCCAAGAGGCCGCAAAAGGGAAGAACATGATTGCTTCTGTCGGAGCATGGTCGGAAACACTTTCAGCCCGGAGACGGGAGAGGAATAGAAGGTGCATATATACCGCTCCTTGATCGACATTAGCCTTCATGTCCGTCTTCAAATCGGTGTTTCTCATCCACAAACAGTCTTCCTCACCGCAGCGAGCAATGGCATTGTCACTCAAATCTCTGGAACCAGCACCTTGTGTGTGACTTTAGCAAAATACCAGCACGCCACGGCCTTGGAGTAGAGCTACGGGGCGTCCTACGTTAGCTCTCGTTGACGACGTCGTACCTCCTTTTGCTCGACTACCGCGGATAGGCGATGCCCAGTTTCCTCTCTGCCTGTGCTGATCAACCTCCTCGTCCGTCGGACAGTCAGCGCAAGATATTCAGCATGTGCGAGGACAACACCCACAACTATGTGGGGCTAAAGCGTCAAGAGGTAGCTACACGCTTCTCTTCTCCCTGTAAATCGGTTTAGAGAGAATGATCTCGGATATCAAGGGCTCTGCTTTATTGCCAAGGGCACAAGGAACCTTCTGCCGATGAAGTACCCTATAAACCAGAAACCTTACCTTACAACGGTAATGTGCCTCTCTTGGCTATACAGTTCAATGGCACGTATGGCGAGTCAATGGCGGTGGGACATTTGCTTGAAATGGTCCATGTGTGTTAATCTGCGCGTACAAATGGCCCCAGGATTGGAAAAGATCAATGCGTGATCAGCTTGATGATGCACATGGAAGTTGACAAGTGTTTCCCGAAATACCAAGGGCTAATCACTCAGGGGAATCCATATCAACAAGGTCATTTTGCTGCTCTTCTGGAGGAGAAAAGTAGGCCCTTGACGGCATCTACATTAGCCATCGCGATCTTCTGCTTGGAAGAAATGAACATCGGGGGAATGCGTATCATATTGGCGAGAGGGTAAAGGTTCTGGCTGCTAATGGGAATCTCGGATGCTGGCAAGGAGCATTGACTGATGGGAAGGATCTGCTTCTTGCAAGAAATCTGCTACTGGCAATAAGAGACGTTGACTGTTCGCAAGAAACAACTGGTAATAGAATGGTCGGGGTTTCCGGCGGTCTAGAGTCGTAGGCCAGGTGGAGGATCTTGCATGGAGAGGGGCGGACTGGCCATGTTGCCGAGAGGGTGAGAGTTCTTGTGCTTCTGGGCGTTGTCACCGACATCCCAATCGGCAATCAGCCGATAGCCAGTGCCGACCAAGTCTTGTGTATCTGTCATTGTCTCTTGTAAAAAGCAAAACGGGATATAACGTCGCTAGCGAGCTGGCTACGGGGCTACTTCAGGGGCAAGCAGCAGTTTCGCGTGCGCTATAACGAGAGTGCTTCTCCATAAGGAGGACGAATCACCGTGTTGAATCGCGCTTGAGAAGGCGTAGGCTGTTAACAAGTGCAGGCTGGCTGTGTCGGCCACTGGCTTTGGAACGAGAGAAAAGGCGCGTTGACGCCGGGCGCAAGTTATAATATCGTGGCACATTTGGCGATCCTGTTGAATCAAGCTGATGCGTCAAACTTGATTGAAGAGTCAACGCAAGAGTTGGTTTGACGCTTGTGCACCTTGGGGGCGACCTTGGGGCATCCCAGGGCAGGTCATTTAGCGGACCCAGCGATAGTAACTGGGGGGGAATACAGGGTATAGCTCAAAACATTGGCGGGCAGTACAGGGGAACACACGAAGACGCCCCACCATGATCAAATGGTTTAAACAAGACCAGGCCGAACTGAATGAGTTGCAAAGGAACGCAGCACCTCCAGGACTGCACTAAAAGAACAAAAGGGATGGATAAGTGCATGCTTGGCAGAGGAGGATTGATGCGCAAGGCTCCCAAGATGTAACGAAAAATGCTACTCCTGACGATGAGGGGAAACTCGACAGCACGGAAGTGCTAGCTTGGGCATGATTTATCAGTATTGCAGCAGACATTCTATCTCTTTCGTGGCCGAGAAATCACTGGAACTCACATCAATAACATGGTTTCTCAAACACCGTCGCTGAGGTCGGGCAACACTATTGACTCTACAGACTTTGACGCTCAGGCTTCAAACAAAAGCCATAGTTACTTGAACGGCAGTGAGAAGTGTCGGGACCCTTCGACCGACAGCTAGTTTCCACTGAAACAGCCATCGCGCTCTAGATCCGAGTTATATTGAGTACGGAACTAACTTGCACCATGGTGCCATCGACTTCTTTCTCCGTGGTAGCATATCGCATAGCCGAGATACCACTCGTAGAGAGATGCGACTAGGCTCGATCCACCTTGCCCACGGAAATTCTCTTTGGCTCCTTCTTCTCTCCATGTTTCTGCGTCTCGAGGTGCGCGACGTACGGCAGGGCTGAGTAGCCAGAGAGAGAGGAGCGGTCGACTTGGTTGGAAGGAGGGCGTATCGTCGAGGTGAAAGTCGTAAGGATGGGAGGAAGCGGTGCCTCTGGGGCGTTGTGTATGCCCAGCCGTTGGTGTAATTACCGAAATCAGCGCTGTTGCAACTGATAGGAACATCATACACTTACTGGCTACAACAGTAAGGTCTTCCGTATTCTTCGACATGGATAAGGCGGCAGCAACCGCACTGCGGCGGCATCCAACTGTAGATGATCAAGGGAGACAGCCTGCGGAGACATGATCGAGTTGCTCCGCTTGCATGTGTTGAACTTCAATTCGTAACCTCGAGGGCTGATTATTCTTCGGTTGCAACTGCAAATGCATTGTGTTGGAGTGGACATTGGTCGAATATATGCGGTTCGTCTCGTCGTCGCACTCATCAGGTCTGACGGTGTCGTCGCTCATATCTCATAAATCTACACCCATCAGTAAATTGTCTCATAACTCAAAACCAAGAACATACCGTAAGAGAATCACCATTCATCCTCCGGTCAGACGCTTCGCCAACTCGTCAAATACGCCTTCCTTTATGTCCTCTAAATCTTCATCCCTCGCGTCTTCGATGCATTTGACTCTATGATCCAGCGAGCTGATATCATCTCTTATTTCTATTATCACAGCCTCCTCCGCATCTACCGGTTCTAGCCCTTCGCACTTCTTCTCCAGGCGTTCGACCTTGTCTTTGAGCTGAGCGTTATCGGCTCTTAGCTTGGCGTTGTCGGCTTGCAGGTCGTCAACCTTGGATTCCAGCTTCTGGAGCTTATCCCAGAACTGGTTGAAGAATTCGGGGTGGCTGTCTTGTCGGGGCCGTTTGCGATTGGACGGAGCGTTCGGGAGAGCTTGACTTCTCGTTGCTTTCTTGTAAGACGGGGGTTTGGGGGGAGGAATTGTTGTGACTTTTGCGCCGGTGCCGCTGAACATTCGTGAGACGTCATAGTCTGGATCGGAGGAGGGTTTGATTTGACGTTGTTCCACAGCCTCGCTGATGGTCTTGAGCTCATCGGGCGAGAGCAGAGACTGTTGAATGTAGATACGCAGGGAGGTGATACAAGAGAGCTCGTGTATCAAGTCGAGGACCTTGCCCGATCGCGCACGAGCTGCTACAACCGGCTCTTCAACATCGCTAGGAATAAGAACGGTGATTCTGTTATCCAGGGCGAAGTCGAGGGACGTAGTCGCATCGAATATGGGTTTTACGGCATCGGGCGGGTTCGGCACGTCGGAAAAAGCGAAGGACTTGATAAAGAAGGGATTTATCCGGAGGCATACGCCTGCCCCAGCCGGCTTGTCCTTGAACCTGAAGGGAATGCTGATTTCGAAGTGCGCGCCGGATTGACTCTCGCGGTCGAGTCGCAATGTAAATCGTATCGCGTCGTGATCGGGATCGGCGGTCGCTAAGTTGCGCGTGACACCCTCCCACTGCCACTCGACGACAGCTGTTGTTTCGTTGATGGCGATACATGCCATAGCGCAAGGTTAGTAGACGAAATCAAGACTTACCTGCACAGCACATCCAATAACGCAACCACGAGAGATATACCGAGCCTCGCTGGCGGGCGCCCAGGACCTCCAGTAGAACTGCCAGGTCGCCCCGGAACTCCAGTAGAACTGCGAGATTCCGAGTCCAGGTCGCCCTCTACACGCCCCGGTTATTCCACAGAGAGGACTCTCGCTCTCAGTGGGTATAATCCGGAATTTTATAACGGGTGTAGCGCGATGCTTGGGGTTCCCTCGAGGAGTGTTACTGAGCGCGGGATGATGGGAGGGACGTTTTGGCGTGGAGGCGACATTTCGAAGAGGGTGAAGAGGAGGATGATTGAACATGAAGCTGGTTGTGAGAGGAGCGTGAATTGGCGAGGGTGGAGTAACCTGCGTTCGGAAGAACGTTGGTCCGACGAGGCTGAGGAACAGCCTTGGGATAAGACAGGAGTCTTACGTGGCACTGGCTTTGATCTGCTACGATACAACAGAAACAGTCGACATACGCCATGAGAGCTAGACTATATCACAATAAACACAACTTGAGAAATTAAGTACTAAAACAGGTCACACTTAGGAAGAATTTTGTGCTCTGGTGATCTTCAATTGATCTATCTTCTCTCGGCCGGATTAAGCTCTCAGCCACAGGTCTCAGCGGCAAATAACACTTCTAGCTAATGTTCACATTCAATGCAAAAATGCGCTAATCATTACACAGCGCAACTGCAGTGGAGTGATCCGCTAAATCGTCCTCGTTAGTGAGCGACTCCAGGGACTCGCGTTGACCAACACCACCGCCTCATCTACACCAATCAACCTCGGATTTCAGCTGTCGGGGTGGAGCCGTAACTGGAAACCGACTGCTCCGTGTCTGCCTCTGGATTTCGCCTCCGGAAGCCCAGTCATGACATTCATAATATGCTCAATACTAGTTTTATTGTACTAATGAAACCCATGTCTATAGTTTTGCATTTTCTTTCTATCCAAATACTCCCAGAACATATGAGATTCTTTTCAAAATAGCCTTTTCCCATTCTCTTGCCCGACAACCTTGGCACCCACCTTATGATTCATTTTCCGTTCCAAAGACTCGCTGTCTGCCTCTTCCGTTTGTGTTCCTCTGGCCCATGGGTCGTTCTCAGCTTGTGATAATTCGGAGGGAGACATGAACTGGCTGGTTAGTCACTGACATGAAAGCGTCTTGCCTGTCTCGTGCGGAGACTGATCTTCTCTCCACTGGCCTTGGCCGCTTCTTGTCTCTCCTGTCTCGCCAATGACCTCTTGAGAGCCGCTCTCTCCCGTCTGTCTTTTATGGTCTTCGCTCTCTGCGCCTTTTTCTCCTCCTTTCTCGTCTTTCGCTGGTGCTCTCGGATTGCCATGTCGACCTTGGCGACCATTCTGCCGGCGACGCCTGGGCATGCACAGGCAAGCGGCATGGCAGTGATGGTTGCAGTGGGATAGCCCTTGCGGGTTTCCGATAGCATGGCCGATACGGCTGGGGACCAGCTCTTAATGCCCTCGTGGAAGCGACGGTGATCAAGCAGACCCTGGAGAAAAGCGTTGCTCCAAGGCCGATGGATGACTGGCATCCCAACAGGGATCCATGTGTTGCAAGATTTGTGCCTTTTGAACCCATTCATTTCATCCTGCATTACCATGAAGATGTCGGGGGACTTCTCTGCATACTTTAGGCGAACATCAAGGTTCGGCATGATTATCGTAGTGATACGCCCAGACTGGGTGACGTCGAGATGAAAAGAAAATTTCTCAAAAGGGAATCTGCCCAACCTGCGCTGACTGCTCCAGAAGGGCAAATGCAAGACATCGGTTCTGGGATTGAAGTATCCATATGGCTGGGTATCGGAAGGCTCCAGTGGGTTTGTTGAGATGGTGTAACGTTTGAGCCGGAGCTGGGCTTGGGTTCGTGATTCTTTGCTGACCATGAGAGCAACTGGGAGCGGAGGTGCTTTGATTCGAAGCCATTTGTCGTTCTGCTTACGGGAAGGCTTGAGACAGTAGACCTGAGGGTCTGGGAGGGTCACATCCCATACCATCCTTCTTAGCTCAGGCGGCATGTTTTTGAAGCAGGTGAAGGTTGGCTGAGGTGGGGGAGGAGGAAGTGCAAGTGGAGGGAACGACTGTAACATGGTCGCTTCTTGCAGTCGTGTAACAGGAGGCATATCGTATGACTGACGGCGGAGATGATGGAAATAGTTCAGTGAATTGTTCGTTTAATTAAGGCTGTTGCTTGCATCCAAGTCCAATTCAGAAGCGTTGAAGAAATGAGGGAAGAAATGGCTAGAGGTATACTAATGGGCTTTAACAGTAGTTTTATTCTTTCACTACAGACATATCATATATCATAACCACTCTTCAACCCCATGGTTAATGGTAGTATAAACATCATGCTCGGGCTGGACATGCATCCATCGACAAAGAAGGAGACTGGTGTCTATCATGCTTGCAGCAGATATCACAAAGAACCACCAGATCTTGAAACCCCGTTCATCCGCGTCTACGTATGTACTTACATACTTGAAGGAGATTATTGGCCAGTTGAAAGCTTGGCAAAGAAAAGCTCAGGCTTCCAGAATTCTGCATCATGACATTGAAGAACAAGGTAGGGGACCATGTGGAGTAGCTCAAGCCACTTGCATGGTCCGAACATGATGCTAGCAGTTGTTAGACAGGAGAAGACCAAAACTGTGCTTTTATTAGTCGACATATTATGACCAGTAAGCTAAAGAGAGACAAGGAACAACAGAAACTTCGCTTGACTGAGAGATAATCGGCGTCCTCTGAAAGAACTGGTTCACGTTGTGCTTGGTTGCACAAAGTTGGTGAGGTGATGCATTTAACCTTTAGTAGCCCATTATCTAAATATGTTTGGTACCGAGGGAACCCCTACGGCTAAATTTAAAACCTGTGACTTAAGATCGGATTGTAAGCTGTGATATCGCGTCTGGACTGCAAAAGTGTCTGGTGTCTTTGTTCTGTCCGGAGGTCTGAGCACATGGTCCCCTATGACGTGGCTTCAATTCAGGTTCTTACGAAACACTACGGAGTACTCCGTACATCCCCTGCAATGGCTTTTGTGGCTAGGCTTGAAGCTGCCATTCATACTTCTACAGCGCCAGCTTTTGCTAAAAAGTTGAAGGCACTAGCAAATGAGGTGTAGGACAGTTGCAATTTCGTCACAACGGGGCATGCTTGATCTGGCACAATGATCGCAGAAGTAGCACCGGGCCAAATCGGAGCCAGCATCTCCTGGCTGCGTAGCTTCAACGCCGATGCTTCCAGTAGTGGCGCGGAAGAATTGTGTTGGGATTTAGATACCGTCGCTGCTTGCAATCGCGTAGTTGTTGTGAGGAGTTTGACCCATTCCTTTGGACTACCCTAGACTGAGGTGGTACATGGAAATTTAGTTAGAGCAGGCGACGCTCTAGCAGCACCGAAAAGCAAAGAGGACGTCTGGTCGCGACTTAACCTTGCGTCTGTGAACGTGAACCCTTCCAAGTGAGACTGGGCCTCTCATTAATTAACTGACGAGGTTTTCTCTTTTTCTACTCTCACTTCGCAACCCGGCATGATTAAGATGGAGCACAATGTTTATGTTGAGATTTATGGCGCGTGACCCACATCGCCGGTAGAGGGCAAACAACCGCACACTCGTGGACGCGAACAGAGCGATGAAGAGGAGGAAATTGCTCCTTAGTTTAGCGGGTTATGTGGCCCCCGACACTGAGCTAGGTGCTGAGCCGCTGACAGGCTCGCGAGGTGATTGAATGAACGACATTGGTCATTCTCTTGCTTGCCTGTACCTTGCATTTTGTCGATATAGGAAAGAAATCGGGTGGATTGGACGGATATCATGCGTCGCGTGTCAATTCAAAAGAGAAAGTAAAGAAATGGCAACTGAAATGTCTTGTGCATCACGGTGATCGATCAATAGACTCATGAAGACTGGTTGCATCTTAAGACGGATCTTAAGATGTCCAACTTCATTGACAAGGATTCGGTTTTGGCCAATGACCCAGATGCTTTAGGCCAAGACCACTGTAACCCCAACCGAAAGAACACTAGCACAGGTCAATTTGATGAATCTGTAGCACAAGAGCGCTTTACAAAGAAACCACAAGAGGGTATTCAACAAGAGTTGGTATAGAGAGATTCAGAATGAGGACTGTGACGTGTATTGAGGCTAGGAACCTGGAAGGGCACAGTCTTTGTGCATCAAGGTCTCGGCGCTGGTGGGTCACGATTCGCACGGCCCTGTGTTTGTACAAGAGAAAGACACAGGCACCGCGGTACCTTTGACGACAGCGAACATAACAGAGCTGGTCCGCCGTAGACCCTTGGCGCCGTAACGGATGTTCTGCTCTGGACCGGGCCCGAACACGAAGCAAATGGGGATTGTGAAGACTTCTCTGCTAAACAGCTGGAGGTACTGTCCAGTGCCTCCACTGTGGCTGGTTTCGCAAGTTACACAGCAGTAACTTGGCAAAACAGGCCACCAAAAGTCGGGGAGTCTAGGACTGCCCACTTCAAGCTGACAATCCATTTCCCGCTCATCTCCCCAGTTTCAAAATGGTTAAATCTATGCGATGTTAATTGTCGTTTTTAGTGAATTTGACTTTGGACTTGTTCGAGATTTAACGCCTAAGACAAGGTTCGGGCCGTAGATCTCACTAACTACGCCGCAGTCAGTCAGGCACTGATCTGATCCATTTCAATATGGAGTCGGTGGGGCAATCACACAAGTCTGGTATACAATTCATCTCATGCACTCCGTCCAGGTACCCTCTTGTCATCGTACCAGAAGAAGCCTTCAATGCGCTTCGGAAGGGTCATGGACAGCCGACGCAGCAGGTTATTCAGCGGGAGCATGACCAGTTGCTGCGAGAACTGGGCCCGAACTCTTCCATCGCCAATGGTCGATGACTTCTTTCACATCGGTCGGATTTATGCTTCACGTACCGTCAAGTCTCAACAGGCCGCGAACTGGTCAGACAGAGTCGTGGATAAAGAATAAGATTGGCAACAAGTCGGAGGTGCATGGCCATGGTTGTAGATGAAAGAGTAGACGATGAGACAAATATATAATACTTGTATCAGAAACGTATTTGCAGATTGGAGCACTTGTCTTTTGAGTCGAGTCGGAGCGAGCGTATCCTGGCGCGGTTTCGCAATCGGGTTCTTGCGACAGGGAGATGATAGGCGTGGACGCCTGGTCGTCATACGTAGAGGTACTCGATCGTGTAGGTAGTATCAAGCTCGCTGATGGGCATCTATTGAAAGAGTACGGTCGGATCCTTCTGTCTTGTCGGCAGAGGAGGCGTCGAGAGGGTTGAGGCAGTATTCGACAGTGTGGAGTTTGAGCTGATGCTCGAAATGATGGCGGAATCAGTGCGCGAATAGATACGAGCACGCGTTAGGACAATAGAAGGATGTGAAGGATACGACAGTAAGAAAAGAGCAAGAGCGAGGCGAGGTGCAGCCCATGCCATGGGCTGCTTTTCAGCTCCCCCTGCAGAACAGGCCATGCCCCGAGTATGGCTAAATTTACAGTGGACTTACATGCGCTAATAGGCTACGTTCTGACGTAAGTGAGCCCCGCCTCTCACCGAATAGCTCCAGGACTGCCTGCATCAATCACGACACGACATCTCTACATCGAGGACATTGTTCCTCGTGCTCCTACATTGTACAAGGCCGACACAGTAGTTGCCATCTTTTGATAAGTTCTCAGTCTCATCATACTTATTTCGCTTCCAGAATCGACGCGTCAGTCATCGTATGTCGGCTGATCTCCGTTGCGTCGTCTGCTCACACACTACAAACAGCATCCATCAGTTTCATCTCCTCAGCGTTTGCCTGGAAAACACAATGTCGGGGACCTGCATTAGCACAACTGAAGTCATTTGCTGGAGAACGGGGCGAAAGAGAAGGTGAAATGTTTAACATCCTTTGTTTCTCGCTCCCTCGATTTTCTCGACCTTCCAGCTTCATCGCTTTGCCGCTCCATTTCACCAGTGCCATCATTTGATACCACCAACTCTCTGCTTCTCATTTTGCTTCGCACTCACTCCCTCCCACTATGGACACCGGGAAGCGGACGCTTCAAGCGTACGTTGAAGACTGCGTCGAAGAGGATGAGGAGGATTCAGATTCCGACGTCCCTCTAAGAGAAACGCAAGCGAAACGTCTCAAACGGTTCCATGAACCAAAATCACCTCGGACCATTTCTTCCTCACCACCACTTCAGCCCTCGCAACCAGCACCAACAGCTCAAGCCCAGCCCGCAACTCTACCCAGCATTACTGCGATACGAAACGAGCGAACTCAATGCCACGCTCAACGACCTAGACCCCGAGCCCCTGCCCCCTCAATTCGCACTCAACTCCCTGCGACAGCGGTCATCAACAATGCAAGGCAAGCATCTCGGAGCTTTGTCGCAACCTCAGAACCTTTCCGATCTGCAGCTACCCCTACTACAAACACACTGTCTATCGACGGCATTGACTTGAATCCTCCTCAGCCGCGCTGGCCACCGCTGCCCGACAACAGCAACATACCCCATTCCTTTTTATTTTACGCTGAAGAGATTCGCATCGTCGTGAACATGCTTTGCGGCACATGCATTGATCGCGAACTATTCTTTGAACTCATCCGACATCAAGACACCACTCCATCCGCAAGGCCTGTCTGGACTATCCCAGAGATATCAGAGCAAAAAGAGATCGGGTTTCTCTGCGGTAAGTCTCCAGTTCACCAACATCGCCATGTCTAACTTATTTCTGCAGCATTCCCGGAACAACATCATTCGATACCAATGTGTGAGCACTGCCACGCCTGCGAGTTCCTCTACGTTACCCATCGGGTCAAATTCAGAAGCGGCCTTCGGGTGGATGCGGCGTTCTATTGCGTGACACGGGAGGGCTATCCAGCTCGGCACTCGATGCTCTCTGTATGTCGGCATAGGTATAGAGAGCCGGAGTATGTCCAGAGAACAGAGCAGGAGTTACTCCTGAAGGCACATAATACTGTGCGTGACTTTTGCTGGCGGCTTGCAGCGTGGGTGTTTAAAGATGCATTCTATCGTAGGACGGATATGATGGACAGGCAAGCGTTGTTTCGGCTTTTTGAGGGTGCTGTGGCACGTTAAAAGGGATATCATTCGAAGAGTTGCAGATATTGTTTTGCGCAAGCTGACACTGATTGAGGCAAGACTGATATGAAGGCATTGGAACTGGAATGTGAGGTGGTTACTCATTCACCACTGGTTTTGAACAAGAACCACGGCTGGCATGGTGCGCATTGTACTGGCGTGCTTTGGCCTTCGGTGCATGGTCTCATGATGGTATTGAGACATGGTAGTGATTTGAAGATGAGCACCTGTGTAGGAGAGGAAAGCTTATGGAAAGCAGGGCTTTGGTTAGAAGAGAAGAAAGAGTCTAGCCATTGCATGCTGAGACATTTGCGTTTATGTATTAGTAGTAGTCCAGTACGTTCTTGAGTTCTATCTAACACAAAGCCATCTGGCAAAGGTCTCTGCCGCTTTGCTTCGTGAAAGTACACTGGCTACTCATGAGTGTGAGAGGTATGTCTCGGTCAGAGGAATGTCTTCGGCGGCACAATTTCGAGGGTTTTGAAGCCATGGTCCATGACGAGAGCTGGAGGTTGAATCAAGAGGTAAAGATTCAGCTACCCTTAATCTTTCTGAACCTTGGTCACTTGAGACGCCGGGGTATTCACCTGAAGGGTTCAGAATGTTGCCCCGAAGTGAAACTAACCAAATCAGCAAAGACCACATCTACGATTGGTAGAAACATACCACGCAACATGTACAGAGAGGCAAAGCAACCCATAGTCTTGTCAGGGGCCTAGGTGTCTCAAGAACAACAGCCTTTTGAGCAACTTGGAGCAACTGGCTCTTTTGCTTGTCACTCACGGCGAAGCATTCTGGTGCTGTGAGTGTTTTCCCGAACTCGACCATGGATTTGGTGGTTCCGATTCTTATTACGTTCGAGATCAGAACGGCAGTTACCCCCATGGCCAGTTCGACAGCATATTGCTAGGACTGGCATTTGAGGATTCTGACTGACTTACGAGGTGCGATCTCTGAGAAGGTCGTTGGGTAATTCTCGGATCGTCCGTCTCCCATCTCGATGTTACGGTATCACACCCTGTGGATTCCGTCTGGTTCGCTGAAGACATCTTGATGCTTCATTACGAGCTTGCGGTCGACGAAGAACTTGAGGACACTCCTCACGATGCTTGCCCAGGTCTAAGCCCACCATCAGCCATCCTTCCCATTCCCGCATACCGTAACCAGAATTGAGAATCAGCAATGTATTTTCTCAAGCTAAGATACAATGCCCCATGCGTTCGCAATAGCAATCGGACGTGGAACAACAGATACGGTCCCGCCATATGTAAACCTTGAGTGATCCATACTGAAACTCGGTTAAGGAGCCAAAATGAAGATTGTGGGAAACAACAGATCATGTATTTGATCTAACAGGTGAATCGTATGGCGGAAAAAAAGACATGTTCATTGCTAGGAGAGGCAAAAACATACAACAGCAGGGATTCGCTGGTCGTCACCGACCCAACTACTGATCTGCCGGTTAGTGGCTTGACTATGGGAGAGCAGACGGGATCCCGTATTTTCCACTACCTATGGTCGTATGTGGTGGGAAGTTGATCTATTTCTAGTTATATGGAGGATGAATTAGACTTCGCGAGGGACAGACAGTACCCTGCATCATTGACTGCAGTCGACATCTTCAAATCTAGGAAACAATGACAATCTGAACAGGATAATATTGCTTCCGTTGAGGATCGCATTAAAAACCTTTGCGTTAGGAAACATGGACAACCGTTCGATAGTCGCTGATGTTACAAACATAGTTAGTCGCGCGCTCTCTGCATACAACTGTTCAAGTTCAAAGGAAAGAAAGTCTGACAAGCCTCTTTCATCCAAGCACTCATCCAATATAACTTGTACTGTCTTACATAGACTGGAATGCAGTCTTGGCCAGCGTAGCCTCCCACTGCTTGATTCTCTCAACGGCTTTAGCCTTACATCTCTCTTCACCCCGAATCTTGTCCCCAAGCTCCGCCAGGCTAACATCAGACTCCTTCTCCGCCCTCTCCGCCGTTTCAAGGGCTCTCTTCGCTGCTTCAAGGTGTGTCTCCAACTCAGAAACCTTGCGTCTCAACTCGTATGTGCCCCTGCCGTGCTTTTCGATGAGTTCCTGCCGAGCTTTCTTGAGCTCAGCGATCGTTTCATCATTCTTCTGTGCTCTGGACTTTTCGGCGTTTACGCAGGCGTCAAGCTTGCGTCGTTGGTTGAGAAAAGCGGTAAAGTTCATTTCGAGAGATTGGACGAGGGTGAGAGGATCATCGGGATTGCTTGGTGGTGTGTCGGTCTCTGATGCTCGTGCGTTGTCTGTAGATTTAGTGTTCACTGCCTCATCGTCTGTAGGTTCTCCAAACTCAGGTTCATCGGGTATAGATTCTGGGGAGCTCTCGGATGACGAAATTAGCACGATCTGCTCTGACTTCTTTGCAGTCAGACGAGGAGAGGCCATGGTAAGTTCCTGCGCCTCGTGAGTTGAAGACTCTGTCGGATTGGACTTGGAAGAAGACGCTTGAAGCGGGGGATCAACGGGGACAGCTCGATACTTTGGTGTCCCAGTAAGAATCGTGTCTTCGCCCAACCCCACGTCTCGGACGGAGGTCAAGTATTTGGTAGCCATGTTCTCATCTGCATCGGCCGGTCCAGTCATCTTGATGAACTTCATACGGGCGGTTGCGATGTCGACGAATCGGGGGACCCTCTCCTTAGCCATGAGACATTTCAGAAAGACAAGTGAATAAATCCCGCCACTGGGACTGTCTATGTGAATAGGACCTGGCTGCAAAGAATGAGTATCGTAATCCGTCAAGACTTGGGTGTCCGACTTACTTGTTTCACGAACATCATCCCTTTCATGTTGAGCTTTCGTTGCGATCTCAGCCAATCTACAAGTTCCTCTGCAGGCATCTTGGTGAGATGGTTTGTCAAGTGATGGACCAGAGTTGTCTTGCCGACGTCGAGATGACATAACGCCCACTGGTCCTCTTCCTGGCTGAAAACGAAGAATGCGATGTGTCGGGCTTTCAGGGCGGGATGTTGAGCATGGATTTTGTCGACGTCTGTGAAGGAGGAACCGGGTGGGAAGATGTACCAATCTGAAGGGCGGGGGAAAAGATTCGCACATCGCGTCATATCTTGGCTGTCCAGTGCATCGCCGTTTCGTAGGGTATCGATGGTAGCGCTCACAGGTTTGGCCATGTCGGTGGTCTGAGGTTGTCTATTAATGGACTCTGTGGCTTCAAGGACTGATGACTCGGCGATTATTGTTGACTCTGCAATAGGCTCAGGCGTCGGTTCGGTATCCTCTCTATCGACTGTTGCTGGCCCATTTTCGCTGCTGGGCGTCTGTTCCCTCTGAGTCTGAGAAGGCGTCCTGGGCACCAGATTCTCAAAGTCAATCTTGTCGAAGATTCGCTGGTGGATCCTTCCGAGAGGATCTTGGCGGACAAGCTGGGCCATCAGACCTCCCTCACTCCACAGCTCGGTGGGATCGCGGTTGGCATCCTGAAAGGCCTTGATGACCTTCCGCATGCCGGCTTTGTTGGCGGGGAGTAGTTTGCCGGCGGGTGCGTAATCGGGAGGCCACCAACCGGGACATCCTTCATCAGGCTTGTTTGATTTGCGCGTCTTCTTGTCTTCGGGGCTTGGAGGTGGTGAAGCTGCTAGCTTTAGGTGCTTTGCGGGACGGCTGGGGGAAGGCGAGCGGCTTGCCTCAGTCTGTGGCCGCTTTCGAGCTTTGCCAGACCTTTTGGGAGGCATGGTATGGTCAAGCAGGTCCTGGGAGCTCGTCAGTTTAGTCACTTGATGCCGACTTTACCTTTTTCTCTAGCCCTACTCCTAACCGTAAGAGACAGACAGCTCTTCAGAGATGGCTCATGGCACTTGCTCGCTAGATGGTTTGAGAGTGCGCGAAAGAGGCGCGGATATATACAGGTCGTTCTGAGCGAAATGACGATATTGTTCTTCGGGAGTTGTTGTGGAAACAAAAAGCAAACAAACGCTGTCTCTCTGTTGCAGGGCACTGTTGGTGGCTGTCAGTGGATTCCTCAGGCCAAGGCAGCTGTTGCGCAGTGCCAGGCGAGATCTGAGGAGCCAATCATTCAGTTTCATTTTTGTGTAATCAGATGACGAAAGTGATGATCTTGCGCGAGAATGTACTTGGTGATGTTGAAACCCAACAAACAACTCATTTGTAGTACAATACCACTTCAGCATCAGAACTCCCGCACCTGGGGCAGTGACGTGAAAGACATCCAGCCCTTGACCAACCAAGAAGTCATTGGCCCCCTCGTCTCACTCTGGAGCTTCACTTGCCGATCCCTTGGCCTAAGTGTCAATGAACTACTTTACAATGGTATTTCGAAGGGCATAATCGAAGTCGTCATAGCCGTGGTACGCTGGCGGATCCAAGGTAAGAAGGGGACAAAAGGGTGTAGTCGTGGGCAAGGTACTTAAGCATTTCGCCGTAGCGAAAGGTTTGTGTATGAAGCCAAATCTCCAAGAGCAAATAGGGCCTCTGTGATATGTGGGCAGGTATTTAATGCCTCGTTTGTAGCCATCACTCGATTCATTGCCCATATAATCCAGTGCATCATGCGAATGCAACAACACGTCCAACACTTCAGAAGTCCAGTTGTTTCCTGTGA